TCCGCCCCGCTGGACCACCCTCGGCATGCGAAAAATGGCGATGGTTGCACAATTCGCAACCGCCGAAAGAGCCGCGAGGTCCAGTCTGCGACCGTCTGGGCGCGCGTAAAAATCCACCCCGCTGCAGGGGGGGGGGGGGCGCAAAAAGTAATGGCAACTGCGCAGTTCGCAACCGCCGACGAGGGCCGCGAGATCCCGCCTGGACGCGGGCACAGCCCCACTCCGCAAGACCTTCCAGGGGCACGCGAATGTAGCAGCAATGGCGCAACTCGCAGCCGCCCAGGGAGCCGCGAAGTCCCGTCTGGATGCGCGTGCAACTCCACTCCGCTGGGCCTCCCAGTGCCCTCGCGAACGCGGCGACAATGGCGCAGTGCGCAGCCGCCGAAGGAGCCGCGAGAGGCCCCGTCTGGAGGCGCATGCAACTCCACCCCGCTGGACCTCCCAGGGGCCAACAGAAAGCGACGACAACTGTGCGGTTCGCCGCCGCCGAGGGGGCCGCGAGGTCCAGTTCGGGTGCGCGCGCAACTCCACTCCGCTGGGAGTCCCAAGGGCGGGCGAATACGCGGCGACAGTTGCGCAGTGCGCGGCCGCCGAGGGAGCCGCGAGGTCCTGTCTGGATGCGCGCGCAGCTCGAGCTGCGCGCGCATCCTGACAGGACCTCCAGCGGGGTGGATCCACCCCGCGAGCTGCACCTCGCGTCCAGCGGGGTGGATCCACCCCGCTGGACCTCCCAGCTGCCAGCGAAGGTGGAGACAGCTGTGCAATTCGCAACCGCCGAGGGAGCAGCGAGGCCCCGTCTGGCCGCGCGTAGACATCCACTCGGCTGGACGTCCAAGTGGCCCGCGAAAATTGACGACAACTGCGCAATTCGCAGCCGCTGATGGAGCCGAGAGGCCCGGTCTGGATGCGCCCGCAACTCCACTCCGCCAGACGCCCCATGGGCCCATGAAGGTGGCGACGGTTGCGCAGGTTGCAACCGCCGAAGGAGCAGGGAGGTCCCATCTGGATACGCGTGCAATTCCATTCCGCGCGGCCTGCCAAGGGGCCCACGCAGGCGGCAACAGTCGTGCAGTTCGCAGCCGCCCAGGGAGCTGCGATGCCCCGCGGGCGCGAGCACAACTCTACTCCGCTGGACCTCAAGGTGGTGGGGGGGGGAGCGGACAATTACCACAACAATGCAAATCTCAACCGCCGAGGGGGCCGCGAGGTCCCGCCTGGGTGGCGCGCGCGGACCCCCTCTGGCAGACCTCCCACGGGCTCACTATGGCGGCGACAGCTGCAGATTCTCCGGCGCCCAGGAAGCCGCGAAATCCCGCTTGCACGCGTAAAACTCCACCCCGCTGGACTTCCCGGCGCGGGGGGGGGGGCGCGAACAGTGGCGGCGACCGCGCAATTCGCAGCCGCCAAGGGAGCCGCGAAATCCCGTCTGGACGCGCGTGCACTATACTCAACTGGAACTCCCAGAGAACCCGCGACAAATGGCGGCAACTGCGCAGTTCGCAATCACCCAGAGAGCCGCGAGGTCCTGTCTGGATGCGCGTGCAACTCCCCTCCGCTGGACCTCCCAGGGGCCCGCGCACGGCGGCGACGGCTGCGCAATTCCCAGCCGCCGAGGGAGCAGCGAGGTCCTGTCTGGATGCGCGTGCAAAATTCACTCCGCTGGAACTCGCAGGGGCCCACGAAAGAGGCGACAGCTGCATGGTTCACAGCCGCCCAGGGAGCCGCGAGGTCCCGTCTGTGTGCGCGTGCAAAATTCACTCCTCTGGACCTCCCGAGGGCCCGCGAAAGTGGCGACAACTGCGCAATTCGCAACCGCCGAGGGAGCCGCGAGGTCCCATTTGGGCACGAGTGGAGATCCACTTCGCTGGACCTCCCAGAGGCCCATGAAAGTGGCGACAACTGCGTTGTTCGCAACCGCTGAGGGAGCCGCGATGACCCGTTTGGGCGCGCGTAGAGGCCCACTCCGCTGGACCTCCCAGGTGCCCGCGAAAAGTGGCGACGTAAGCACAGTTCGCGGCCGCCCAGGGAGCTGCGAGGCCCCGTCTGGATGCGCGTACAACTCCACTCCGCTAGACCTCCCAAGCGCCTCACGACGGCGACGACAACTGCGCAGCTCGCAGCCACGCAGGGAGCCGCGAGGTCCCGTTTGGGCGCGCGTGCAACTCCACCCCGCTAGACCTCCCAGGGGCCCACAAAAGCGGCGACGGTTGCAAGTTCGCACCACCGAGGGAGCCGCAGGGTCCCGCATGAGCAACTCCACTCTGCTGGACCTCCCAAGGACCCACAAAACGTGGCGACTGCTGCACAGTTCGCGGCCGCCGAGGAAGCCGTGAGGTCCCGTTTGGGTGCGCGTGCAACTCCACTCCGATGGTTCTCCCAGAGGCCCACGCGATGGTGGCGACGGTTCGCAGTTCGCGGCCGCCCAAGGAACCGCGAAATCCCGCGTGGGTGCGCGTAGAGCCCCACTCCGCTAGACCCACACGAAAGTGGCAACCTTTGGGCGGGTGGCAGCCAACGAGGGTGCCGCGAGGTCCCGTCTGGGTGCGCGTGCAGCTCCACTCCGCTGGACCTCCCAGGGGCCCAAACAAGCGGCGACAAAGTTCGCAGCCACCGAGGGAGCAGCGATGTTCCGTTTGGGTGCGCGTGCAGCTCGATTCCTCTGGACCTTCCAGGGGCCAGCGACGAATTGCGACTGCGACGGTTGCGCAGTTCGCAGCCACCCAGGGAGCCGCGAAGTGCCGTCTCGGTGCGTGTAGAGGTCCACTCCGCTGGACCTCCCAAGGGGCTCACGACAAGTTGCGACAACTGCGCAGTTCGCAACCACGGGGGGAGCCACGAGGTCCCGCCTGGGCGCGCGTGCAGCTTCACTCCGCTGGGCATCCCAAAGGTCCACGAAAGTGGCGACAGCTGCGTAATTCGCAACCACCGAGGGAGCCGCGAGGTCCTGTCGGGGCGCGCGTGCAACTCCACTCCGCTGGACTTCCCAAGGTTCCACGAAAGCGGCGACAACTGCGCAGCTCGCAGCCACCGAGGGAGCCGCGAGTTCCCGCCTGGATGTGCGTACAACTCCACTCCGTTGGATCTCCCAAGGGCCCACGAAGGCGGGGATTGCTGCAAAGTTCGCAGCCACCGAAGGAGCCGCGAGGCCCCGTTTGGGCGCGCGTACAACTCCACTCCGCTGGACCTCCCAGGGGCCCACGAAAATGGCTACAACTGCGCAGTTCGCAGCCACCGAGGGAGCAGTGAGGTCCCGTCTAGGTGCGCGTGCAACTTCACTCCGCTGGACCTCCCAGGGGTCACCAAAGTAGCGACAGCTGCGCAGTTCGCAGCCACTGGGGGAGCCGCGCGGTCCCGTCTGGGTGCGCGTGCAACTCCAGCTCGGCTGGGCCTCCCAGGGGCCCACGAGAGTGGCGACGGTTGCGCAGTTCGCAGCCACCGAGGGGGCCGCGAGGCTGCACAGCTCGCAGCCGCTCAGGGAGCACCCGACGGCGTATACTAGGATAGCAGGCAGGAGGCAGGAGAAGGGGGGAGGAGGAGACTGGAGGCAGGACGACGGGGGAGGAGCAGGCAGGATGGATACCCAATGTGGCGAGGGGGCGGGGCCACGTCCTGGACAACTTCAAGGGAGAGGAAGACAGTATTCATATTGAACAACTGTAGAGGAGGAGGACGAGGACAGCGAACAAGAACGAGGAGATGTGAGCGAGGGTCGCCCTGGAGAAGCAGCTGAACTAGAGCGGGGCTGGCTGGTCCTTCAGTATCTGCGCCCGCAGGGTCAAGCTTTGGTCCTGGCGCTAGGACGCTCATCGAACCCCAACAAATCTGTGGCTGCTCTTGCTTCCCTGAACCATTCCTCCCGGCTGGAACCGACTTCGGCTGCTCCGCCATCTCTCCCTCTTTTCTCCCCCCTCCTCCAGGCGGCATCTGGAGGTCTCCAGAAGTCTCCAGGGTTCACGAGAGGCGCAACAGTTTTTTTTTATAAGACAGAAGCACATAACCCTAGGCACTCGAACTGCGATTCCCCCTCCTCCCCCCTTCCTCCCCCTCTCCTTCTCCCCTGCCCACCTCAGGAGAGACACGAACCTCTACGAACCATTTCTGGAGACGAGAACGCGGTAATGAATTCTTCCAGGTCTCCACCTGTCTTCACCCATCCCCACCCTCATCCTCCCTCCTTCCCTTGCCGTCTCTTTCTGCCTCTTCTTCGTGCTCCTGCTCCTCCACCTCCCTTCTACCTCATCCTCCTCGATCCTGCTGCTCATCATCCCTTATTGACCTTCATCATTCTTATCCTCCTCGTACTCATCCCATCTCCTCCTCATCCTCTAAACGACAACACGCGACTATTCATAGAGCCACTGGTGCCTCAACTATATTTTGACTATATAATGTCACGCCCGCGCTTCGCGCGCCTATGTTCTAGCCAGGCGCAGGCGCGGGAGACTCGGTGAAATAAGGAGAGAAGGAGGGCGAGGTTGCAGGAGGAATGAGGAATGGAGCGTGTGGGGAGAGGAAGGGCAGGGGAGGGGAGGGGCCACACCGGGTTACAACGAAGGCCAGGTCGCTCTTTGGGCTACACACACACTGGCCCATTCGCCCTCAATTTGCGAAGAAGGACGCCCCGCCCACACCGGGCCACATATGCGGGGCCGCGTGCGTTGACAACGGAGGCGGGGCCGCCCTCCGGGGCAAACGTTGGTGAGGCGACACCCGGCCACAGTGGAGGCCAGGAGCGCTCACCATGGCACATTGGCACTCCCCCCAGAAGCTCTCCAGACCGCCCTGGCTCAAGGGGCTAAGGGTTCACCCTCCACTTCTCCTCCTCCTCCTCCGCTTCCTCCTCCTCCTCCTCCTCCTCCACCTCCTCCTCCTCCTCCTCCTCTCCTCCTCCTCCTCCTCCTCCTCCTCCTCCTGCTCCTCCTCCTCCTCCCCCTCCGTCCGCCCAGTGAAGGCCAGGAACGCTCACCATGTCCCCTGGTAGTACAATATCTATACAAGGTGTGTGACCAGGCCGTCTGGAGGCCGCCCTGGCAACATTCTTGGGCTCCGCGGAGGAGCCAGTTGCCCTGCCAGCGGCCAGTCCTGGTGGCTGCTCCTAGGGCTCCTGGCCCCGATGCCTGGGTATCTCCGTAAGAATCGGACGAGCGATGATCGGGGCCTGAGGCTGCTTGTAGTCGCCGCCCAGCCACTCCCTGGGGCACGCAGAGGGTGGCGCGGGGACGAGAGGGCATGACGATGAAGAGGAGGGAGGTCTAATGGTGTCGGGCCCTAGATTCGCCTCCCAAATCTCGCTCAGCATCGTCAGCGCCCGCTGCCGCTGCTCGCCCTTCTCGCACGCGCTGATCCCAGCGCTGTAGCTGAAGAAAACGTCGGGCCTCATCTTCATCTCCCGAATTCCACCTAGAAGAGCAAAAGGCCATTGCCACGGCCACTGATCGCCCTCCTCGCACGCGCTGATCCCGGCGCTGTAGCTTGCAAGTGCGGACCCACGGACTTTCGAGAATGCTTCCTGTGCGACAAATTGGCCACCCAAGCATTGAAAGGATGATGTGTGCCGTCGTAGTCGCACTGGCTGCATGCCATGATCACACACACAATGCTTCGTAATCTCACTCAAAGCGTGACAAACGATCTGAAAAGAGCCTGGGAATCCTGCTGAGTTGCGAGATGCCTTCTCGTACGCTGACACGCTCAACTTGTAACTGACTTCGCTCGGCTCATCTCCGCAACTCGTTGAGCATTAACAGCGCTTGCCGCCATGGGTCGCCTCTCACACGCGTACCACCAGCGTTGTAGAGATGATGACGTCGGGCTCTGACCTAGACTCCCGCACCTCGCTCAGCAGCGCCAGCGCCTGCTGCCACTGCTCGCCCTTCTCGCACGCGCTGACCTGGCTGACTAGGGCTGACCCGTGGACTACGTCCGCTTGCGGGGTGAAGGGGTGCTGCCGCAAGGCGATCAAGATGAATGGCGTCATGTTCGCCTGCCACATATCGCTGAGCTGCGGGGGCGCCAGGTGGCACTTGGGCCAAATCCGGCAGAGAGCGCCAAGCAAGCGTCAGGGAGGACGAAGAGCCCCATACGGAGCCCGGGCACGGAGTCAGGAACTGGGTCGGGATGGCTCGTGGCACCGTTCACTCTTGGGAGCCTTCATCATCATCCTCCCCCTCGTCATCATCATCATCATCATCATCATCATCATCATCATCATCATCATCATCATCATCATCATCATCATCATCATCACCATCACCACCATCAGCATCACCATTATCGTCATCGTCATCATCGTCATCGTCGTCATCATCATCATCATCATCATCATCGTCGTCGTCGTCATTATCATCATTATCACCGTCGTCAAATCGTTTGGAGCGTCGGCCCAATACGACCCGAGACGGCCCCAAGGTTGTTCCAAAATCGTCCAAGACGGCTCGAAGATGGCCCCATACTGACCGACGAGGCCCTGAGGAGGGCTGCAATAATGAAATACGTCAGGGCCCCAAGAGGCCCAGGAGAGGTCTCATGACCGACCCAAAGTAAGAGGGATTTTGGGTCAAATTTTGCAGAGAGCGCCAAGCAAGCGTCAGGGAGGCCGAAGAGCCCCATGCGAAGCCCGGGCACGGAGTCAGGAAATGGGTCGAGATGGCTCGTGGTACCGTTCACTCTTGGGAGACTTCATCATCATCATCCTCCCACTCGTCATCATCATCACCACATCATCATCAGCATCATCAGCATCATCAGCATGAGCATCATCATCATCATCACCATCATCGTCATCATCGTCATCATCATCGTCATCAGCATCAGCACCAGCATCATCGTCACCATTTTCATCATCGTCATTATCAGCATCATCATCATCATCATCATCATCATCATCATCATCATCATCCTCTTCCTCCTCCTCCTCATCATCGTCGTCATAGTCATCGTCATCGTCATCGTCATCGTCATCGTCATCGTCATCATCATCCTCTTCCTCCTCCTCCTCCTCCTCAGCAACAGCATCAGCATCAGCATCGGCATCATCATCAGCATCAGCATCGACATCAGCATCATCATCATCACCATCACCACCATCATCACCATCGCCATCACCATCATCATAACCATCACCATCACCATCACCATCACCATCACCATCACCATCACCATCACCATCACCATCACCATCACCATCACCATCACCATCATCATCATCATCATCATCATCATCATCACCATCATCATCAGCATCATCATCATCATCTACATCTACATCATCATCATCATCATCATCATCATCATCATCATCATCATCATCATCATCATCATCATCATCATCATCGGCATCGGCATCGGCATCGGCATCGGCATCGGCATCGGCATCAGCATCAGCATCAGCATCAGCATCACATCAGCATCAGCATCAGCATCAGCATCAGCATCATCATCATCATCATCATCATCATCATCATCATCATCATCATCATCATCATCATCATCATCATCATCATCATCATCATCATCATCATCATCATTTGGGACGTCGGCCCCAAGCGGCCCAAGATCGGGTCAGACGCCTCAAACATGGCCCCATGCTGGCCCAAGAGGCTCCCGAGAGAGCTGCAAGAACGAAACACGGCATGGCCCCAAGAGGCCGCGGAGAGGGCTCCAGAGCGACAAAAAGGGCGAAGGAATTTGCGCCAAATCTGGCAGGGAGCGCCAAACAAGCGTCAGGAAGGCCGAGGAGCCCCATGGAGCGCTTGGAGCCAATTTGGGACCGTCTTCGGGCCGTCTGAGGCCATCTTTGGCTGATGTTGGTGCTGTCTTCGGTGCTTCTTGGGCCACCATCTTGGGGCCTCTGGGTGTCGTTTAAGAGCCTCTCAGCGATTCTTTTCAGCCTTCTGAAAGCCTCCTGGGGCCCTCTTGGGCTGCCTCGGGTGCCTCTTGGGCCGTGTTGAGGCCGTCCAGGGCCGTCTGGGGGTTGTCTGGGGCCGTCTTGGGTGTCTCTAGAACAGTCTGGGGGCTCGTCTTGGGCCGTCCTGGGCCGCTCTTGAGGCAGTCTTGGGTACCCCGTCGGCCGCCAGGGGCGCCTCAGGAGCCGTCCTGGGGCCATCTTGGGACCCCGTATGACCGTCTTGGGCACTATGAAGAGGGCAAGCCTGGGAACTGCCAAAATGCACGGTTTCCCAAAGGAATGGGACGATTGGGACTCGTCGTGGAGCCCACCTGGAGCGTTTGGAAGCCTCTTGGGCCGTCTGGAGGCTGTCTGAGGCGTTGTCGAGCGCTCTGGGCGCATCTCGGAGACCCTCTTGGACCATCTTCGGCCGTCTGGAAGCCCTCCTGGGGGCCTCCTGGCGCGTCTCGGAACGCTCTTGGGCCATCTTGGAAGCGCGCCGAGGCCTGCTGGGGCTCGCAGGGAGCGCCGGAGGGGTCCAGTCCGCTGCCACCGATTGGCACCTCCGCGAGCGCTGGGCCATTGTAGGAGAGAAACCACCTCTTGGCTCGAGGTGCAAGAACACGAGAATCATTGAAACAAACATGAGGAAATCAATGTTTGTTGGCTGCCTCGGCCCGTCCTCGTGAGCTTCCTGCCCTGACATATCGTCGGTTGGGGCTGTTATGGGGCTGTCGTGGGGCCCGCATGGGCGCATAGGAAGTCTTTTGCGAGCCCTGTTGGCCGTCTGAGGACTCTTGGAAACCTTCTGGGGCTGCCTGGTCTCCCCAGGGCGGCCCGGCAGGGCGCGCGGGGCCGATTTGGGACACTTCGTCCTTTCCATCCTTCTGGCGCGCGCGGGCTCCAGCATTGTAGGAGAGACTAGGGCGAACCCGCGGACTTCGTCCACGACCTGCAGGTCCCCCTGGCACGCCTCCACGTTGGGCCCCCGCCCAAGAAAAGAGTCACCCCGAAGCTTTCTGTGACCTGTTCTGGCCGCCTTTCGGAAATTGGAAAGCGGGCGTTCCCTTCTCTTCGTCCGCCACCCGCTCCACGTCCGCCTGGACAGCCTTCGGAGCGTCACTGACGGCTATGGTGGGTCTGCGATGTGGTTCTCGCCGCTTGTCTGCTCCCCCTGGTTCGAACAATTTTGAAAACACTTGGGGCATAGGAGAACGTCACCCGGAGGGCTCTGGTGACTTCTTTCCGGTTGCCTTTTCGGGGACCTCTCGGGTTTCTTTTCGGCCTCCCTGAGGCCTCTTGGGGCCCTCTTGGGTGGGGCCGTCTCGGGAGAGTCTGGAGGCCCTGTTGGACTATCTTTGGCCGCTCTTGGGGCTATCTTGACTGCTTCTTGGGCTGTAATTACTGGGCGCCACAGGAGCCGTCCTGGGGCCGGCTGGGGCCTTCCTGGGGCCTCACGGAAGCCTCCTGACGCGTCTTGGTGCGATCTTGGGGGCCTTTATTCCTTTATTATCGTCCTGGGCGCTATGAAAACGAAGAACACGGGAAACATGTAAATTGTCCCTAGGGGTTGGGGCGATGTTTGTCTGTGCGGGCTCTGTCGGGCGTCTTCTGGGAACCCAGTTGGAGCGTTTGGGGGGCTTCTTGGGCCGTATGGAGGCTATATTGAACGTCTCCACCCAGTACAGCGTTTCGTGGCCCCATCAAAGGGCTCCACCGAAGGCCCCAGTGGGACCGCCCGCATGCGTCATCCACCACCCAATACAACGCTTCGTGGCCCAAGAGGGGGCTCCACCGAAGGGGTTCAGGGGTCGAATCCCCCCTCTGCGTTTTTAAGGATTCTGCGTTGTGGGAGGCGGAGCGCGTCGTCAGCTTGCTGCTGGTATCGGCGCGGTATGCCCGCTGTGCTTTTTCTCGGCGCATCCTCCCCTCTCCTTTCCTCTCTCTCTCTCTCTCTCTCGTTCTTTCTTTCTTTTTCTCTCTCTCTCTCTCTCTCTCTCAGGATCCACCGTCCTCAGCCGAATCATCAGCCAAAGCCTAGCCGAAGCCTCAGCCTCACCTAGCTTAAGTACCAGCCAGAATTTAGCCGAAACCTAGCCTAAGCCTAAGCCTAAG